TTAATGTTATATTTACTTTTGACTAAACTAACAGAATGAAACCTTCTGCTGTTATTGTTACTAATATTATTGTCAGTACTGTTATTACTATTGTCTTTTGTTACTGTTACTGTTACTGTTACTGATACTAATACTAATACTGATATTGATACTGATCCTGATACTGATACTGTCACTGATACAGTTACTATTCTCGTTGCTTTTATTGCTGTCATTGGCACAACAATCACCTTGTTTACATTAAAGAGACAAATCAATCAAGTGTAGTATAAAAAAAAGCAGAACGATGCGAAAAACATATGACTAAGAATTACTGTCAAAAAAAACCCATTAATCTGAAATATTTTTGGTAATAATGTTACTCCTGTAGCAGCTTAGCACACTACACACAGGAAAAAGTGAGCGGAGGTGGACGACAACGGAAGAATGAACTTGACAATTTTGACAAAATCCACAGTTGAATCACAGAATACATCACAGGAACAGATTAAAATCTTTTTTAAAATTTTATTCGTAAACCCGACAAAAAATGTGAATCGAAATCTTATAGCCATATTGAGGTGTTTCTGATCTACCAAGATATATGAAACAGTAAAACTAAGGCAATTTATGTTTGGTAAAAAAAAATTGGTTTTTTCCCAATCTAAACATTTCGTATATTTAAAGTTGTCTTTCAAGCTTTTATTTATCTACCATAGTAATAAAAAGCGTATACACCTTTTACTCTCATAGTGTCTCAACTACATTACAGATTTAAAAATACCTGTAACAAAAAGAAAAAAAAAAGGAAAGGAAGGTGAAGAAAACCTTTATTTGCTTATTGAAAAGTGCACAAAATGCTCTGTTCCGTCGTTGTCGTAAATTACTTAAGAAGAGGAATGCCTACAATATGGGGTGTTCAGGTTTCACCTTAGCATTAATTAGGATGTCTCGATAGACAACCTAGAGCAGGTGTATAACTCATTCATAAAAGAAGTTTCATGTTCACAGAAGAAAAAAATCTATTAACCTTTGTATAAATAAGTCTTTTTGTTTTTTTTTCTGTCACTATTTTAATGTCTAAACTATTTTTTTCATTTAAATTTTTTCTTTGCAAGAATATGTAAGAATAATGAGTTTTCAAACATTTCTACCAAATTATCGACGTAATATGTTTGACGAGTGAGCAATTAGAGTAGTCTTGGTTGTGTGCTAAGAAAACAGATGTAAATAAATGATGAGGTGATAGAAATGCTTAATGTTAGTTACGTAAATTCTCAAAGTGCTAAACTATAACTATCAAATCTGTGAAATAAAACCACAGAAAAAAAAGGCTATTATGCAAAAATGTGATGAGACAAATAATCACAGTAATACAACAATAGTTTAGCTGCACTGTTTTCTTCACTGTTGATTTTTTTTTTTTTTTTTTTTTTTTT